TGTCATCTTAGCAAGATTTGATACAAGGTCAATGTAAAACACAAAGATAAACAAAAGTGATATCTAAGAATGACTGTTGTTAGCAAATCTTGTTCTGACTTTAATCATTCTATCTGCAGATGAACAGKATGTCATGAAAACCTAGGTCATTAAAGGATGTCATGAATTACTWGRTTAAACATAAAAGTATTAGATCCATTACAACAACTAATCGTGGATCCCTTTAATATCCCTGATTTGAGGTCGGAGCGGTCCCGACGTCCTTCCGAACCGAGTAGATCACCCTTAACTCACCACCCACATCAGTAATATCTGCTATGATTGTCTTTAGAGCCATCACGATAATCTGGACTTCCTTAAGATTGATGGAAGGGCAAATATCGGCCTGATTTTCTTGTAGTGTGACGCCGGCTTAGCCTGTTAGCCTTTGCGCTAGCGCTGACACTATATTGCCTTTTATGTATTAGCTCTGTGCTAGTGCGACAAACAAGCTAAACTGAGGTCCTCCATCCATTCCTTCTCCTCTCTGTCAACGCTCTCTGGTTTCATTCAAAAGAGTCGATCATCAGATATTGTCCAAGATTAACCTTCAGGGTGGATATAGCTCGCTAGCAGCCTCGCACGAGGACCTATCCACGTCATCATTTACCCAGAATGCTTTGTGTGTGAATAAAATGGCCCCGTCCATGTAATATATTTTTAAACTTTTGGTTTAAAAATGATAAAAACTGAACATCCTACAGTATTTTTACAGTCTTTATTTTACAGTTAAAATAAATGTTTATTATATAAAGTCTAATGTTACAACTAATCATTAAACACAGTCCTGGAGCTAAAACACAGTGGCAGGTGATATGCATTCCTTCAAGCAATGCATTTTTGACGTAATGTCGTCCACAGTGCTACAGTCCAGCAGTGTCTGATGGTGAACAGTGTGGCGGAGGCTGTAAAAGAAGTGAAGACCCTGGCGGAGCTGGACTGTGGGCTGCAGCTGTCAGGATGTGCCCACCTTCAGGACTTTGTCAGAAAAACACTTTGCTTCTGGCACAACATCATCAAAGAGCAGCTGAAGAGGTGGTATTCATCAAATAGCACACGTCCTTCTGTCTGAGTCAAACAAATAAACCTCTTTGTTTTTATGACTTTGCAGTGATTTTGAGGCCCTCCTGACTCAGCTTCACTGGCCCATCGTTTCCACCTCTCAGCCGTCCACGCCGGTGACCAACAGTCAGGACGTCAGCCGAAGCTTGGAGGAGGTGGTGACGCAGCTGTACGCCCTGCAGACCTCGTATCCTTCAGTCATCCTCTTCACACACTTACAGYTCGCAGCCTGTGTCCTCTAGTTGTGTCTAAATGTTCAGTAATGTGAGTCGTTTTATTTTGAAACGATAATCAGGGCTCTAGACTAACTTTTTGCACTGGCTGCACTGGTGCGCCTAACATTTTTTTTCTTCAGGTGCACCAGCACAAAAGTTCGGTGCACCCAAATTTTCAACCACGTCACATTTAACATCAGAGTTTTACAGGTTATTTTTTTAATCGCTTTTCTTTAAGGCAACATTAACTCAAAAATAATTAGTTAACAATCTAGTAAACATAAAGTTCTTTATTTGAACCAGAATTGTAGACATCTAACTTACTGAAAAGTATTTAAAGTGATTCTATAAAATTCTAAGTGCAAATATTTAAGGGCTGAACATCTTATAAACATATTAAACATTTCATGGTTAAATTTCTTTTAGACACCTGCCCCTCAGATGGACAACTCCTGTAGTTTGGCCCAATGGTTCTTTGGTCTTGAATAAACCAGAATGATGAAAAAAGAATAATGA